TGCATGCCAGGACCTTCCCACCAGCCTCCCTCAAGAACATATCCAAGCGATGCACGCCAGCACAGAGATGGCTTGTGTACATGGAGGTCTACTGCAGCATTGCTCATGCAAAATCCCGGTGACAACCTGAATGTCTATCAAAAGGGGACTGCTACTAAGTACATGATGGTACATCCATTCAGTGGAACACTCTGTGGTCAAGAAAACTAGTGATAAAGTTCATTGTCTAGTCACGAGTCACCTCCCTTAAAGTTATAAATCTAATATGTAGCTTGAAAGCATCTTCCAAGAATCAAAGATGAATTTACTGTGCATATATACAAAAGTATGTGTTTGTGTGTGATCTGCTTTATTTGATTATGTAAGATAACCCTGGGAAGGTCACTTCAAGAACAGCCAGGCGCGGTGGCTCACGCCTGTAATCCCAGCACTGGGAGCTGGCGGAGGATCACCTGAGGCCAGGAGTTCCCACTCCAGCCCCACAAACCCCGCCTCTACTAAAAATACAAAAATTAGTTGGGTGTGGTGGCTCATGCCTGTAATCCCAGCTACTTGGGAGGTGGAGGGAGAATCATTGAACCGGAGGCGGAGGCTGCAGGAGCGCGGGAGACTGCCACTGCACCAGCCTGGGAGACAGAGCAAGACTGCATTTTGAAAAAAAAGAAGAAGAAACTGATAATGCTTCTCATAGTAACTTGGTGGCCAAAAAAAGAAAAAAGAAAAAAGAAAAAATTGTATATATAAAAGAAAAAGAAGCTGGATAATGCTGTTTTGTCGCATAAGGAGGGAAGGGAATATCTAGCCATGGGAGAGGGGAGCCGCTTTTACACAAAATTTTTTTTGAAATGTGTAACTAGAACATGTGACTTAACTCAAAAGTAAAATATAAAAATTTTAAAGGCTAATGAAAATTTGGTTTTGCTTTTGGCAGAGTTCACCTCATGCCCAGGCTGGAGCATGGCAGTAATCTCGCCACTGCAACCTCCGCCTCCCTGGCCTGGGCTTGATTCTCCGCCTCAGCCTCCCTGGTACCTCTTCCTGGGGAATTGTAATGACGCCACTGCACATCAGTTGATTTTTATATTTTTAGTAGAGATGGGGTTTCACATGTTGGCCAAGTTAGCCCTAACTCCTGACCTCAGATGATCTATTTGCCTCAGTTTTCTAAAGGCTGGATGATATAGTGAGTTACTGAGCCTGGCCTAAAAATGCATTAAGGCCAGCATAGTGGGCCTATTTCACTCCCAGCACTTGGTGAGGCTGCCAAGGCAGCAGGGATGTTTGATTCAGGAGTTCAGATCATTTGGCAACATAGCAAGACTGTCTCAAAAAAAAAAAAAATTAGCTGGACATGGTGGTACACTCTGCAATCCCAGCTACTCGGGAGCTGAGGAGACCAGCCTGAACCTGGGAGTCGTCAATGTGGAGCTGTGATTGTGCCACCGCACTTCAGCCTGGGCAACAGAGAGACACTGTCTCAAAAAAAAAAAAATTGTATTTAAGTCCATAATACAGGTTAAATCCTTTCCTTTCCTGAATGAACTGTACCCCTGGTTATCCAATACTAAGGAGGAAAGGCCATCTTAGAATTCCGAATACTATACAAAGGAGTGACTAAATGAGAAGCTCACAGTTTCTGCAGCTCTGTGAGTGGGGTTGATCTCAAAAAGAGAGTCGACTTCAGGCACAGGACATCCCATGGAAGAATACATTCATTTATGGAGTCTTGATTAATAATGACCACTTATAATGACAGACAATACACATTGCATAAATACATGATGTACAAAATTACATGGATGTATTTAATTAATTAATTAATATAAAATAAAAGCAAGCAAAAGAATCAATCTGACTCAGCTTTAGATCCAAATATCAATTTACAGGAAATACATGGATAAAGAAATATGAATGATGTTCATAATGATGTCCAACAAAATCCAGGGGCCATGAGAATTTCCAAGGACAATTGGCCCAGTTTCCTGAACAACAAGGAAGGACTTGCATGATGTACAGGCCGGGCACAGGCTCAGGCCTATAATCCCAGCCCTGAGACCAAGGCAGGTGGATCACCTCAGTCAAGACCAGCCCGGCTAACATGGTGAAGCCCCCATCTCTACTGAAAAATACGAAAGCTGGGCCTCATGCGTGTCTGCTCAGAACCAGCAGACGGGAGGCCAAGATGGGCGAACAGAGGTCAGAGATCAAGACCATCCCCACAACCTGTGAAACCCTGTCTCTACTAAAAATACAAAAAACTAGCTGGAAGAGTGGCGGGCGCCTGTAGTCCCAGCTACTTGGGAGGCTGAGGCAGGAGAATGGCGTAAACCAGGAGGGAGCTTACAGCACTGAGATCCGCCACTGCACTCCAGCCTGGGTGACAGAGCAAGACTCAATCTCAAAAAAAAGGAAAGACAGCCACTCAGCCATTGTAAATGTCTATGATCCAAATTCAAACAAATTGTAAAGAAAACTAGTTGATCATTCCAGACTTTTTTCTTTTCCTGTTCTTTGAGACAGAGCTTCACTGGCCACCAGCTGGAGTACAGTGGTGTGGATCTTGGCTCACTGAAGCCTGCCACCTGGGTTCAAGCGAGTCGCCATGCCTCAGCCTCCCAGTAGCTGGGATTGCTGTGTGTGTCACCACCTTGGACAATTTTTGCATTTTTAGTAGAGATGGGGTTTCACCATGTTGCCAGGCTGGTCTCGAATTCCTGACTTCAGATCTGGTTCAGCCTGGCCTCCCAAGTAACAGATTATAGACGTGAGCCACTGCACCTGGGCCTATCTTGTGACATTATGAGGTATATGGAAAATCAGACACTGGCGTATTTGATGATGGTTGCCAGCACGATAAACCAGGTGGCTGCTCACGCCTACACAGATCCGGCACTGGGAGGCCAAGGCAGGAGACCAGCCTTGGCTCAGGAGTTTCAAGACCAGCCTCAGTGTCAAAGGAGACCAACTCTTACAAGAATAAAAACACCAGTGGCCTTGTATATGCACCTGGGGTCCCAACTGCACAGGACTGAGGTAGGAGGACTGCTTGAGACCAGGAGGCCGAGCTGCAGTGAGCCAAAGAAAAGAAACATAAAGAAAAAGATACAACTAAAAGAGGTTTTTAACATGATTTAAATGAAACACCTTGGCCTCTGCTTTGGGTTTCTTCATGAGTTTCTGACGCACTGTTGGAGTGCAGACTGCTCACACCGATCAGACTCCCCTGTTCAAACATCAGGCAGGCCCAAGCTCCCCAGCTGAGGCAGGCCTTCCTTTCCCTGTATCACCAGCCCTTCTGCCTAACCCCCTTTAGCTTACAATGCAGACCTCCCTGCCTTTGTTCATGCCTTGCTTTGCTTGGCGCCTGCTGCTCTGCTTCAACTCCTATCCATTCCTCCTTGAGGCTTCATAAATTCCCGATCTCCATGTAGCGGCTGACTCCCACCCTCCTCCTATTCTTCTGAGCCCAGGACATTCCCTCTGTCCCATGTACATACCACTGAGCGCCGCTTCCTTTTTAGTCTAGGAATTTTGGGGATCTACGTCTCTTCATCACTAGAAGCCGTGAGGTCCTTGGTAGCAAAGCTAAATATTCTGCGGATTGTAACTCAGGAACTTTACCTTATGCATGCTCATGCCTATAATCTGGCACTTTGGGAGGTTGAGGCTTGCAGACTGCCTGAGCTCACAGGATTACCTGAGCCCTGAGTCTGGAGTAATACAAGTCCACAGGTTCTAGAGCGGGCAAAGGTTTCTCCCAGGACGCCTGCAGGTCACATATCTGCGCCAAGCTTCCACTGAGGTCAACAGAGCTGTCTGCATCTGGTGTGGTGGCGCTGGCCTGGGGCAGCCACACATGCTGTGCACTGATGTTGGTGGCCCCCTACTAGGTGCGAACAGGGTGTTATTTTGTCATTTGTCTCCAGGCAGGACCCTGTGTGTGTCCGTGTGTGAGTGCTGAGTTCATGTCGACGGTTTGGTGCCTCTGGAGCCTTCCTGAACGGGTAAGGCGGCATCTGGCTGAAGGTCTATGTTGTGGTGCAGGTGTTGGGCCCGGCTGTGTGTATCAGGGCATATGTTCAAAGTATCGTGGCCAGGCAGGTGTACAACTGCACGCGCGCAAGTCTGGGGAGGTGGCTTGGGCCTCTTGGTATGTGTGATACACTTTGTGCATCTGGGTATACCAGCTGAATGATTACGTTGAACTGCATGCTTTCTCTTGTCCGTGTGCACTCCATGAGGTGGGAGATAGCGTGCTGTGTCATCTGCATGTGGGTGTGATGGGTCCGCGGTGGTGGGGTGACTGTTCTGTGCTCAGGGGCTGGGTGGCACCTGGCTGTGGCTGTGCTGCATATGTGCATATTCTGTGAATTGGAGTGTTTCTGTCCCTATGAAGCAGGTGTAGGCGCAGCCTTTGTATTTAGGTCTCACTATGTTGTTTGTGGCATGTTTGTGCATCTGTGTGTTCTGTGTGGGCTCAGTGTGGGTCTGGGTTTGCAGACATCACATCTGTGTGAAGCAAGTGCTGTTTGCTCTGGGACAGAGGGGTTCAGGCTGTTGCCAGGTTCTCCTCCCACAGAGCTATGGACCCTGTCGGCCACACCTCACCCCTTTCCCACAAACTTCACTCCCGCACAAAACAGCCTTCAATTTACTTGTAGTTCAAAAGGAAGAGCTGCCACTAAGTTGAGATGAAAGAAGTTGACTCTCTTAGTGAATCATGCCTTGACCATTCCATTTAGTCTTTCCAGGTTGCTATGGACACAAGGAGCCCAGGGGTCTGTCCTCTGAGCTAAGGGATGGTGGCCACTCCTCTTTCCATTCCAGCTGCGCCATACACCTGCCTCAGGGACAGCAAGAAGGAGTGGGACTCCCATGGGGGCCCTGAGTTCCTCTCTCTTGGCCAGGAGGTGGCCGCTGGGAGTGCCTCAGTTTCCCTGCAGGACATGCAGTCAACAGGATAAAGACTGACCCTCCCCTCCACTCCCCACCATGCCAAGGGTGCTGCAGGGTTGGAAAGATCAGAACAATCTCACTGACTGCCCCCCAACCCAGCCCACCATGCCAGTGAGGGCCGCAGGGGCAGGCACTTGCCACCTGTGGCCATGGGGAAAAGGGGGTGGCAGGGAAAGAATGTTGCCCAACTGCAGAGCCCTGGACCAAGGGTCTCATCCCAGCACCACCACTGACCTTGGGCCTATCATGCCCCCTCTCCAGGACTTACTTTCCCTATCTGTGATAAGGTGATCTCCAGGCTCTGAAGTTCTCTGGGGACCCACCCTCCAGGAAAGGCCTTTGCAGTCATTCCTGTTCCACCCCTCCCTCCAGGTGAGGCCTCATTCAAACCATGGTGGATAGAGGACAACTGAAGCAGCGGGCACCCTCTGCGTGCCATTTGGGGCCCCCCTAGCCACAGGAGGGAGCTTTCCACACTAACCCAGACCCCCTGTGCTGCAGTCCCAGCCCCAGCTGCTGTGTCCCAGCAGAGGAGGAACCTGTCACCTCCCACCTCTTCCCTTCCCTGCCAACTGGGGGCAGGGCTAGCTTCAGAAGGTGGCATTTAAGAGGCAGGCCCTGGGGGTGTGGCACTGTGCCATGCACGGGCCAAAAGAAAAGGGAGGGCTGGCTCAGGGCCCCATCACCACTGACAATGCAAGACTGGGGCCAGCATGCCCTACACACCGGCTGCAGACCCTGGGAAAACTAGCTCTCCACTGACCTGATGCTAGGGGCCACTGCGGGCCGCCTACCCGGCTCCTCTACAAGTCCCAACTCGTCGGGGGTTTGTCCAGCCAGACAAATCCCAGGACACGGACACGCCCCACAGTCACATACAGGAACACACACCCTCCTCCCAGTGCGGGCTCCAGCCTGGACAAGCCCAGCTTAGGGGTCCCACGCCAACCCTAGCTCTGCCACTACCACACAGGGGACCCTGGGCCAGCCCCTGCCTCTCTGGGTCCCTTCCAGCGTTGCAGGGGCCAGCTGTGCCCTGAAATCCCTAGCCCAGTGTCTCTTCCTGTACGTAGGAAACAAAACTTTAGAACTTTGGTTCTAGACTGCGTTAGTCTAGAAACCAAACAGAGCACTGGGGCTGCGAGCTGGAAGACCTGGTGTCTAGCCTTAACTGGCTGTGTGCCCCCAGCATGGTGCTTCCCCTCCCTGAGCTTCTGTTTTCTCCTTTGTTAAATGGGCATCATAATGGTCCCGAACTTGGTGTATTAAATGTTAAACACTCAGCCCGTGCCTGCAACGTACTAGGCACTCAATAAACAGTAGCTACTATTAATATGTTATTGCCACCTGCATGCCTCCCATCTGTACACATACACTCGGTCCCACTTGTAACTCCCTTACCAATCTTCAGCCACCACCAACTTTCCAGAGTCACCTCCCGGCCACCTGGAGGCCCAAAGCAGACAGTGCATCAACAGCATCCCACACCCCTGGCACCGGCTCACCCCCAGCTCCCACCCCAGGCCGTGGGACCCCCACAAGCCTGCAGCACGGGTGATGTGAAACCTGCCTGGACATGAAGACAGGCCTGCTTCTCCTTCCTTCCCTGCCTGGAACCCATTCCAATAGGCAGTGGCGGCAGGTCCTGTGGCTGCCCCAGATGGCCTGCAGAACACTGCGGGTGGCCACACCAGCCTTGAGCCAGCATCCAGCCACCGCCTCAGCCCCAAGGCCCGTGGCAATGGTAGCACAGGGAGATGCCCAGAAACTCAAGAGGCAGGAATCTCTAGGGATCTCGTTCTCTGTGTCCCGAACCCCTAACAGGCCTGGGACAGATGGGAACAAAATGCCCCTATGCCAGGAACTTTATTCTACTATTTCCTATTATTCACACAACTCCACGTCCCATTACAATCCCCACTACAGAAAACAGGCTTGAAGAATGTAGTGATTTGTTCAACGCCACTCAAGGTGGCAGAGCCTCAATCCAAGCCCAGGCCAACCTGACACCAGGGCCCATCTTTTGCCCCATGTGTGGGCCTGGTCTAGATGCCTCCATGCCCTCAAACCGGGGGAGCCCTGGCCTCGCCCACCACCTAGGCGGCACCCACCCTCTCGCTGACCGCGTTGTACTTAATGGCGAGTTCATTGCGCTCGGCACAGCTCTGTGCCAGCAGGTCCTCCACGCGGGATAGCTCCTGCTGCAGCAGCTGGTTCTCCTCCTGCAGCGACAGCAGCGATGCCATCTCCGTGGCTGGCAGCGGGACTGGCAAGGGACAGTGGGTACATCATTGGCTTCTGGGTCCAGTGGGACATCCTCCCCCCACGGGGAGGGCAAGAAAACCATCCAGGCCCCTGAGATGAGCCCAGGGGGGAATGGCTGCAGCATTAGGCCTGCAAACAGAGCTGAGAACAGGGAGGAAGGCAAGGAGGGGATACAAAGCTGGACATAAAGTGAACACAGCTCCAGCTAAAGTGTGGCCCAGCAGGTTTCGGAGGTGCAGGAGAGAGGCTCAGTCTAGGAGCCAGGAGACCCCTGAGTTCTTGCTCCCTCTTTTCCAATTACAGTTCTTCCCCAGGGCCTCAGTTTTACTTATCTGTAAAATGGGTGGGGCAGGTGCGGACTCAGGCCTGTAATCTCAGCACTTTGGGAGGCGAGATGGGAAGATCACCTAAAGTCAGGAATTTGAGACTAGCCTGGTCAACATGGCGAAGCCCTGTCTCTACTAAAAATACAAAAATTAGCCGGGCATGGTGGTGTATGCCTGTAGTCCCAGCTACTTGGGAGGCTGAGACAGGAGAATCACTTGAACCCGGAAGGTAGAGGTTGCAGTGAGCTGAGATTGTGCCACTGCACTCCAGCCTGGGCAACACAGAGAGACTCTGCCTCAAAAGAAAAAAAAAAAAGGCCGGGCGCGGTGGCTCAAGCCTGTAATCCCAGCACTTTGGGAGGCCGAGGCGGGTGGATCACGAGGTCAGGAGATCGAGACCATCCTGGCTAACACGGTGAAACCCCGTCTCTACTAAAAATACAAAAAATTAGCCGGGCATGGTGGTGGGCACCTGTAGTCCCAGCTACTCGGCGGCTGAGGCAGGAGAATGGCGAGAACCCGGGAGGCGGAGCTTGCAGTGGGCCAAGATCGTGCCACTGCACTCCAGCCTGGGTAACACAGCGAGACTCTGTCTCAAAAAAAAAAAAAAAAGAATAGTAACCAGATCCTCCCAGAAAAGCATCAAAGCCTCATTCAAGGGAAGGGCTTCAAGGAACTTTAAATGTTAGGGCTCAGGATAGCGTTGGTCAGGTTGTGAGGAGGAGGAGAAAGAGAGAAGAGGGAAAGAAAGGCCAGCGGGAGAAGCAGGGTTGTCCACCTCCTGTGGGTTCCCCTTCTACCCTGGGAGAACTGGACATAGGCTCCAGGTGCCAGGGTGAAGGCACTCCCTGTCTGGGGCTCCAGGGCGCCAACATCCCCGGCGCTCCCAAGGAGGGGGCCCGTCTGTAGCTTGTCAGTTGAACAGAGACAATGGTTAGAACACCAAAACGCCATCAGGGAGAGCTGCCAGCACACCAGCTGCAACTGACTGTGCCCTTCCCAGACCCTCAAGCCACATAACGACACCGTGTGTGCCACCCGCTAAGAGGAGCAGGGACCATCCACATTCCTGCCCACGTGGGAAATGGATGGACAGCGCCATCCACTGAGACTTCTGCAAAACCCTGGTCTGAGATGAGCTGCCCTCTCCCTGTATCTTGGGTTCAGCCAGCTCCACACCTTCCGCAGGTGGGAATATGGGATTTGGAGTTCACATCTTTGCAGCAAGCTACAGGCAAGCACGGAGGGGATGCTCGGCCCTTCCTTCTAGTTGCACCACATGCGGAATAAGTCTGGGCAAATTCATCCCTGAGCCTCCGTTGCCTCATCTGTAAAATGGCTTCTTCTGTCATAAGGTTGTGCCTGTCCCGCAGCAAGTTACGGTCATGAACATCATGGTGACTGCTCAGGAAAGGGACATGCGAAGAGGTAAAATGTGGGTGGTGTCTGTGGAGGGGAGCGGATGGGGGTGGCACCTGGGCTCTCAGGCCGGGAGAGGTTGTGGGTGACAATTTCCCTGATGCGGGCAAGCAGGCTGGTGGTCTGAGCGTCCTGGGCCAGGTCCCGCGTGCCCAAGCCCTTCTCCTGGCACAGGACGCTGCTCTCCAGTGTCTGTGGGAAAATCGAGAGGGTCTTCAGGGGACCTGGGACCCGGGGCTCCCTGGCCTCGGGGGAAGAGCCAAGTCCTACTGCCCAAGATATGGGTCCCCAGGAGCCCCCTCAAGATGGAGTGAAGCCTGTGAATTAGAATCCAAAAAATCCCCATGGGAGGAGCCTCTTGTGCGCTCCCCACCCCTGGAAGAAGTCCACCCAGGGCCAGAGATGCGAACCAAACCCCACGGGCAACTCCTAAACCCCACTGAGGCAGTCCAGTGTTGGGGGCTCCAATCCGGCTCCAACCCTAGATGGATGAGGATCCGGCTATGCCAGAGGTCCTCCGAATCCTAAAATCTGGAAGTAGGGACCCCCCTTCTCCCAATGCAGGGCACTGGGATGAGGGAGCCACAGCAGGTGCACCCTGTGTGTACATCTGCCCTCCCCCCCCCCGTCTTGCCAGGAACTGCAAGTGGGGGCCCGTTATACCCCACCACCACCATATCCCTCCCACCCCTTGACCCCCAAGACGTACACACGTCTCACCACTCCTGCTAAGTCCACACTACCCCGCCCCAGACAGGGTGGGCACAGCCCCCAGGACCCACCTGGATAACCGTCTCTAGCGTCAGCTCCACCTTCTGTGCCCCCGCCAGCCCCAAGCTCATAGGGGGGAGGCTGTGGGCACTCCTTCAGCCCCCTTCCCCAGGACCCCAAGACTAGCTCAGTCAGCACACGCCACAGCCAGGCTGCTGTGCTGAGCACCAGGCAGATTAAGCTTAAATCCGGCGGCGCCCCCATGTGACCACCGGGGTGGGAGGAGCGGGATGGGGGCTGAAGCGGGAGGGGATGGGAAAGGACAGGAGAGGGGGGAAGCAGAGGCGGGGAGCCAAAGGAAGAGGAAGAATAAAGAGAGGGGAGGAGAAGGGAGAGAAAGGGAGGGAGGAGAGACAAGAGGGAATGGGGGGAGGAAAAGAGGGGAGGCACCTGGAGGTCAGGACCTCACACACTCTCCACCCTCCACAGGTTGCTGGGTCCTAGAGCCCTCCAAGTCCAGGGGGTGGAGTCAGTAGTCATGCGGTGGGAAAGGCCAGAGCCCTAAGTCTTCCGGATCATCTTTGCTGGCCCAGAACTGGGGTCACATGGTTAGCTATGAATGTGAGGATTTATAGCACGCTGGGAGCACGCTTTCCCACAACAGGTGTAGGGCAAAGAATGCAGGCTGTGAGGTCACCCAGAGCAGGCTAGGCACTTAGTTGGGCATAAGCAGTCCAGCCTGGACTGATGAGCATTTATGCAACACCTGCGGCATTCCTAGGTCTGACCTAGACACAGTGGCACAGCCTCGACCTACAAATGCCCCAGCCTTGCCCTTCAGGCACTTATTGGGAAGCTTCTGGCCCCTCCACACCCACCCTAGCCCCCACTAGCTGGGTGCACCAGTGACAGTGACTTTGCCTCTCTGAGCCTCAGTGTCCTCTTACGTAAGATGTGATAATATTGGCATTCACCTAATGGAGCCGTCCGGGGATGAAACAGAATATCGTGTGTGCATAACCAGCACATGACACGGTGCCAGGGGGTCACAGGGTCAACACTCAAGAAATACTCATTTCATTCATTGGAAAATCCAAAAGGCACAGTACCTGCCGGGCATAGGCGCTCAGGCCTGTAATCTCAGCATTTTGGAAGGCCAAGGTGGGCGGATCACCTAAGGTCAGGAGTTTGAGACCAGCCTTACGAATGTGGTGAAACCCCGTCTCTACCAAGAATATAAAAATTAGCCGGGCGTGGTGGCGCATGCCTGTAATCCCAGCTATTTAGGAGGCTGAGGCAGGAGAATCAATTGAACTTGGGAGGCGTAGGTTGCAGTGACCCGAGATCGTGCCATTGCACTCCAGCCGGGGCAACAAGAGCGAAACTTGTCTCAAAATAAAAAAAGGAAGAAAAGAAAAGCACAGTGCCTATATCCCAGGGCCCTGAGACCCAGAGGTCACCCACCACCTCTTATTGTTCTTTCCCTGGGGCAAGGAGGCTATGTGGTATAGTGGTTAGGCACACAGCTCTGGAGTCAGTATCAGGTCTGAGGTTGCATGTGAGACACAGCTCGGTCACTTGCAACTATGGTGTTCAAGACAGTATGACCTTGAACAGGTTACCTCCCTGAGCCTCAGTTTTCTCATCTCTAAAAGACTAGACCAGGCCGGGTGTGGTGGCTGAAACCTGTAATTCCAGCACTTTGGGAGGCTGAAGCGGGCAGATCACTTGAGGTCAGGAGTTCGAGACCAGCCTGGCCAACATAGTGAAACCCCATCTTTACTAAAAATATAAAAATTAGCCTGCAATCCCAGCACTTTGGGAGGCCAAGGTGGGCAGATCACGAGGTCAAGAGATTGAGACTATCCTGGCCAACATGGTGAAACCTCGTCTCTAATAAAAATACAAAAATTAGCTGGGTATGGTGGTGTATGCCTGTAGTCCCAGCTACTTGGGAGGCTGAGTCAGGAGAATCGCTTGAACCTGGAAGGCGGAGGTTGCAGTGAGCCGAGATCACACCACTGCACTTCAGCCTGGCGACAGAGTAAGACTGTCTCAAAAAAAATAAATAGATAAAAATTTAAAAATTGGCGAGGCGCAGTGGCTCACACCTGTAATCCCAGCACTTTGGGAGGCCAAGGCGAGTGGATCATGAGGTCAGGAGATCAAGACCATCCTGGCTAACACGGCGAAACCCCATCTCTATTTAAAAAATACAAAAAAGATTAGCCAGGTGTGGCGGCGGGCGCCTGTAGTCCCAGCTACTTGGGAGGCTGAGGCAGGAGAATGGCATGAACCCGGGAGGCTGAGCTTGCAGTGAGCAGAGATCGCACCACTGCACTCCAGCCTGGGTGACAGAGCAAGATTCCGTCTAAAAAAAAAAAATTAGCTGGGGCTTGGTGGCATGTGCATGTAATCCCAGCTAGTCAGGAGGCTGAGGCAGGGGAATCATTTGAACCCCGGAGGAGGAGGTGACAGTGAGCCAAGATTGTGCCACAGCACTCCAGCCAGGGTGACAGGGCAAGACTCTGCCTTGAAAAAAATTAATTAATTAATTAATTAAAATAAAATAAAAAATAAAAAAAATAAAATAAAATGAGACTAGACTGGGCATGGTGGTTCAGGTCTGTAATCCCAGCACTTTGGGAGGCCAAGATGGGAGAAGCGCTTGAGCCCAGGAGTTTGAGACCAGCCTGGGCAACAGAGCGAGACTCTTTCCTACCAAAAACAACAAAAAAAAGAGACTAATAGTAAGTACCTGCCACACCAGGCAGGTGGTGAGCTATTAGCCAATGGTGGCCGCTGTTCCTATTGTCATTAGCATCATGTGTCTGGGCTCCTGTCCTTAGAGTTGTAAGCCCTGAAAAAGGACAGGAATTGCTCACTTGAGGAGCTCCGCTTTTAAGACACAATTCTGCCAAAGTTCCCAGCCAAATAAACCTCCTTCCTTCTTTAACCCGGTGTCTGAGGAGTTTTGCCTGTGGCTCGTCCTGCTTCACTGCTATGCCTCAGACCTTGGCCTCTGGGCGCCCTCTGCTCCATGCTGTGCCCCAAAGGGGGCATATTCACATTATCTCATTAAATCCTTACTTCAACCCATTTCCAGATGAGAAATCTGAGGCTCAGAGAGATTGGGCTCTCACTTATTCAAGGTGACATGCTTCAGGGAAGTAGTGAGCCCAGAGCTCATTCCACTTTGACCAGCAGCCTCCCAATAAGTGACTGAAGGGCAAGGCCAAGGCATTTGCACTTTGAGGCTCTACTACTGTATCGAGGTCAGACCCAGAATGCCACGGTGCTGTACAAATGCTCATCAGTCCAGGCTGGACCGCTCATACCCAACTAAGGAACCTGCCCTGCAGATGGAAAAACCAAGAAACAGGGCAGAAAAGATAAATGTTGCCAAGTTGCAATGGCAAGCAAGCCAGATTTGGGCAAAACTAAACCAGCCACTGGCCGGGTGCGGTGGCTCACGCCTGTAATCCCAACACTTTGGGAGGCCGAGGCAGGTGGATTGCTTGAGATCAGGAATTCTAGACCAGCCTGGCCAACGTGGTGAAACCCCATCTGTACTAAAAATACAGAAATTAGCTGGGCATGGTGGTGGGTGCCTGCAGTCCCAGCTACTCGGGAGGCTGAGGCACAAGAATCACTTGAAACCGGGAGGCAGAGGTTGCACTGAGCTGAGATCGCACCATCGAACTCCTGGGTGACAGAGCGAGACTCTGTCTCAAAAAACAAAAACAAAAACAAAAAAAAACACTAAACTAAACTAAACTAAACCAGCCAGCAGCAGAGAGCTGCCACTACAAACCACAGGGATGCCCACTCTTCTACCTCTAAGCAGCCTCCAAAAATCCCCTCTACAGGCTGCACACCTGCCTATCAGAGCAAGGGGGAAACCACAAATACAAATACCCCTGGGCCAGCATGTCCAGCCCTGCATGCCCAGCTCAGCAGAAGGGGCCCCAGATGTCCTTGGGGAACTGAACTGAATTATTCTGTCTCCTCTGCTGACCACGGCCCTAACAGTTGGGGGAAGGGGACAGGATATCAGCCCCTGGCACCAGGTGACACCCACCCTTGGCTCCATCCTCAAAGTTCTCCCCCACAGTCCTGCTGGGTTCTGTGGGTTCCAGGAGGTCGTATCTGAACCCCATGTATGTGTCCACTGCTTCCACCCAATTCTCCAAAAAAAAAAAAATGACTGAATTCCTCTTAGAAATCTGGATGCTAACAGCTTCAGCATCTGGCCACCTGGACTCCAATCTTGGCTCACAGACCCTGCGCCAGAGTCTTCACTTCCCTGAGCCTCAGTTTCCTCATCTGCAAAATGGGATACTAACGGTGCCTGTCTCTAGCATGAGCATTAAGTAAAATACCTCGTGCTAAGCTATATGCCTGGATATGGTGTGGCAGAAGCTGCAATGTGCTCACCACAAAGCATTTCCAATTCCTCTTAGGAATATGGCTGAAAGCTATTTCCCAGACTCCCATGCAGTCAGATACGGCCTTGTGGTCAACTTCTGGTCCATAGAATTAAGACAGAAAGAAAGTGTGCCACTTTAGGCTTGGCCCATAAAATTATTTCTCTCCTTCCTGGTCCATCAGCTAGAAGGAAATAACTCCAAGGTCCTAGGGGATGCTGGAACCACAAGACAGAAGGGATCTGGGTCCCTGGGTCACATAGAAAGCCACTGGCCAAACAGCCAACAGGACTTTTCATGAATGAGAAATAAACGTCTATTGTGCTAAGCCTCTGAGGATTCAGGGTTTCACTATCACATTAGCTAGTGTTACCTTAATTACTACCAGCAGTTAAACAGCGGGTAAGTGTTGGCTATTACTACTGTTATCATTACTATCATGAGTATTATTGGCTCTTTCTAGTACCCAAGCTAGAACCCTGTGCCTTGTTCTAGATGCTGGGCCATTATTTAGTGACCAAATACAGAAGAGACACCCTTTGTACCCTTCCCTCCCCACTACCACCCTCCAAACCTGCCTTTTGCCAGGGTTAGCGGCAGGAACTAGCCAAAAAGCTCCTCCAAGATTACTTGTCTCAAACATAGCAGCACCTCTTATCCGCCTACCCCTTCTTTATCCCCCTACCCCTTCTTTATCCCCCTGCTGCTGACTAGAAATTATGACAAAAATATTGAACCAACCACGAGCCATTCCCTGTGCGCAAAATGTTACATCTGTCCCTTACCTGCTTTAACATTCCCGGCACCACTCTACTCACTTTACAGATGACAGCACAAAGTCTCAGCGAAGTTAAATAATTGGCTCCAATGCACCCAGCCACAAAGAGCTCAAGCCACAGCCGCAACCTAGGTGTGCCTGATTCCAAAGGGTTTTTGGTTTTTTTGTTTGTTTTGGTTTGTTTTGTTTTGGAGATGGAGTCTCGCTCTGTCACCCAGTCTGGAGTGCAGTGGCACCATCTCGGCTCACTGCAACCTCTGCCTCCTGGGCTCAAGCAATTCTCCTGCCTCAGCCTCCTGAGTAGCTGGGATTACAGGTATGCGCCACTGCGCCCAGCTAATTTTTTTACTTTTAGTAGAGACAGGGTTTCACCATGTTTGCCAGGCTGGTCTCAAACTCCTGACCTCAACTGATCTACCTGCCTCGGCCTCCCAAAGTGCTGGGATTACAGGCATGAGCCACCACGCCCAGCCCAGAGTCTTAAATAATAACAGCAAGCTGGGTGATCCCAACACTTTGGGAGGCCAAGGTAGGAGGACTGCTTGAGCCCAGGAGTTTGAGACCAGCCCTGGCAACATAGTGAGACTCCATCTCTACCAAAAAATACCAAAAAACTGGCCTGGCATGGTGGCATATACCTCCTGTAGTCCCAGTTCCTTGAGAGGCTGAGGCAGGAGGATTGCTTGAGCCTGGAAGGTTGAGGCTGCAACGAGCTGCGGCTGTGTCACTGCACTCTAGCCCGGGTGAAAGAGCAAGACACTGCCTCAGATAAACAAAAACAGTAACAGCAATGACTGCCATCCTGCAGCGCCTGCTGTGTGCCTGGCACCACCCCAGGACTCCGATGTGTATTACATAAGCCACTGCCTGGACTGCTCAGATGGCTCCCCAAGGGTCTCTCTGCTTCGCTGCTCATCCCCT